AAAACTTGTCCTCACCATCTTGGCGCTGGCCATTGCCATTGCCATTGGGAATCACTTGCCAATAAAAGGCAGCAAACAATTAGAGGATGACTTGGGCTTGCAGCTCAGCTCTCCTGCAGCAGCTCTGTTTTCCTTCTGCCTCTAAATTTATGAATTGCAAAACTCACGATTACATAAGACATCAGTCAGTCAGTCAGTCATCTTCCTGGTGGTTTGTGGTCAGGGAAAACCATTACCAGTTGACCCCTGGCTGACGTGTGATCTTGGGGGTTTGGGCTTTGTATTTTTTGGGCTGTCAGAGATTTCATCATTACTCAACGAAAGGATACATCAGGGCAGCAAAGTCGATGGTCGAAATGTTGAGTGATGGGCTAAACACTGAGAACTTAACCCAAAGAACAACAGCCAAGAACTGGAAAATATATCCCGAAAGCAACAGCCTACATTTCGGACTTAATAACTTACCTTAAGAGCAAACTTCAAACCTTTGACTTTGCAGCCCAAATGGCTGTCCAAAAAATAAATATTAAGAGCCGCACCACAGCACTTATCTACAACGATTTGGCGATCTGTGGAAGATCTCCGCTTTTGGCCAAAACACGTCTCTCACCCACGCGGCAAGTCAAAGAGCGAGAAAACATACTGAAACCTTCCCCGAGACCTTCCTCAATGGGGTCTCGTAGCGGCAGCCGAGGCAACAAATGTGGACACGTTCGATGGGCAAGTGACCTGCAAAGGCCCCTCACAGACATAATTTTTTGCCGAAACGGCAAACGGAAAGCGGCAAACGGCGTGTGGCACGTGAAATATTTTTGTAATTTGTGCAGGATGCGATATCTAGAGAAAATGCATTGCTGTTGCATCGCAATCGGCAATTGCCATGACCATAGCTCTGGCTTCTCGGAGCTCCTAGGCCCACTATTTCCGTATGGGTGTCTGTATGGATCAGGCCAAGAGTTGACAGCAGCTGCACACCCACAACAGTTCAAAAGGGAGGGGACTGCAGTCTAGAGGAGATTGGAGCGGCTGCCCCTTAGAGCTGTGGCTGCGGCTGCGGCTGCGGCTGCGACTGTGGCTGTGTCTCGAGGATTGAGACACGGAGTCGCAGTCGCAGTCGCAGTAGAAGTCTCAGTCTTGGGGCTTGGGTCTCTCGGCTGCTTGGGTCAAAATTGCTTGTAAGAATTTATTGGCAAGAGTTCTGCGATTGCTGCGTCCAGGTCCACGCATGCAACGGCCAGAGAATCCCCCCTACCCCCCACCCCCCTAATTTGTAGCCTGTCTTCGAGAGACAAAAGGAATTTCTCAAAAAGTGGAAATGTAAATGGAGACCCGACAGCGGGTTCCCTCCTGAACGGGCGGGCAATTTAAACAATTATGGAAATCGCAGCTTCAACTTGCAGCTGGCCAATTATCAATGGAATCCCTGGAGCTGCACCGTTGACAAATCTTTCAAGTGGGGGAAATCCATTTGCAATCCCCATCTTGTCAATGGAGATTAATAAGCAGTTAGCTTGTGGCAGAATCAAACACAAGAAGCACTCACGATTGTCATTGGAGGGGAGGAACGGGAGGTGTCCAAGGAGGCGCTCATTAAACATAAACCAAAAGGAGGAGGATACAGAGAGGAGACACTAACAACTAATTAACACTTCCAGCTACTTCCACGCCCACCGAACCGGCTAACCGTTTGCCGACTGAATTAATGAACGAATTAAAGTTTGCGTGACGACATGAAGTGAGTACCATCCAGACCCGACCCGTCCGTGGACAACAACGTCACCAGAGCAACGCCACCGCGTAGACGTCTCAGGGAGTTGGAGACACGGCGTCCCAGTCCAGGGGCAATGCCGCTGCTGCTGCTGCTGCTGCTGCTGCTGTTGGATGTTGAAGGCAAGGAGCAAATGTCGTGCCAAACAAATACCTCAAGAAATCACTGAGGACAGGGAAACAAGGGAACAGGTTTTTTTGGCGGGCAGCTATGCGAATATCAGCGAAAACAACTACCTACGAAAAATGCAGATGCCATGCTACAAAGATGGGTATACCCTGAAGATTGAAGGGAAATATACATTTTGGTGATGAATTCTATTGGAAAAACAAGCTTTGAATTTTCTAATCACGAAAATAACTGCTCCTGTACTACGTTTGTGGACCAAAAAGCTTCGGATAGTAAAATAACAAACAATAATTGCCATCTTCACACACCTTTTCTATGCTTTTCCGCACTCAAAGAATACCCCGGGCTCCACGTTTTTCCCCTTCTGAAAAATGACAAACTCTCTTCCTGCAGGTAATACCCTTTTGTTTTGTTTGCTGTATTTTGTTGAAACTCAAAAAAATTGGCATAAATGTTTATGATACAGTAAACGGATGAAGACAACGACAACGACGCAACGATACTATGCACAGATGTGGATGAGGATGATGAAAAAACCTCGACTGAGACTGAGACTGAGACCTCGGTCTAACTTAACCTGTCAGCGAAGTGGAACGTTATACATGCATTATTTTAACCCGTGGATTGTGTGGCATTGCTTGGCTTGGCATTCATTGTCTGTGAATGCAAAGAAAGTGAATTGTGAATTGTGCATTGAATTGCAGCAGCTGATCAAAATCCACGCGAAACGGATGTGCAGCGGAAATGTGGGGGTTGGGGAGCAGCTCTCACTGCAGAAACACAAAAAACTTTAAGGAGAAACTGTATATAAAATATGAAAAATCAGACTGGTGGCAGAAGTGCAGTGGGGAGCGAACGGCTACTGGAACGTGGACCCCTCTGACTGATGTAAAAGTGTCGTGTGTCTCTGTGACTGACATTGATGTATTCGTATTCCCATCAGTCCATCAGTCCATCGACAGACGACAATTTGCAATACTCGCAGAACAATGTTGGGAATAGCAAGAGGCAGTGGGAGATGTGCGATGGTAGATGGAAGATTTAGATGGAAGGTGCGGGTAATGCGTATACGGTTGTCCCACTATCTTTGTGTAGAGATCTTCCCCTGGGAGAGGAATGGCTTTCTATTTGGTCTTCCATTTGTCCCACAATTGATTCCATTCAATTTCTATTCAAATAAATCGCATGCTTCATTTGGGCTTTATTGCAGCACCCAACTGGTTGATTGAATCGTTGCATTTGACATGATTTATCCGGGCCAAGAGTCCAGTTGTAGACTATATATATATATATTTTACAAATCCTTGGTGGGCCCTCTTTCTGGGGGAGGCTAAATGGAGTTGTTGTGCGTGCAGCAGCTCAATATAATTATTGAATTAATAGCCACAGGGCCTCGCAACGCGAATTGAGAGCTTTCCTTGAGAACCAAAAGTGCGTTCCAATCTCCTATGTGAACCGTGTGCCCTCCAGCTATCGGCTGTGTAAGAGTTAATGCTTGTCGAAAGAATCAACGGCTCTCGGGATGGCACAACGGGTGGCTTTAGTCGCAACTCTGCAACCAGACACGCAATCCACAAGAGTTGGCAGCAAAAGTTAGGCATAGATTCTAATGAGAACGGAACTACGAGGCAAAACTCAAATGAATTTCCCCCATTTTCCCATCAACGATCATATACCTCGCCCTTTTTCATTTTCTTTTAAGCTTTTAGCTTGGCTCTTTGGATTCTTGCATTTCATGTGACAAGAAGTGGCCCTGCCATACGTACAAAATATTCTCTCCTTACAGTACTCAACTTTTAAATGGACTGCTGCAATGTCTGCAGCTGCCTTTTATGGCCGTCTCGTGCCTCTTATCTTTTTGGGTATGACAAAAGTTGCTACTCAAATCAGGAAAGCGGCAGAGTGCTTCCATCCTCCATCATACACTGCGCTCCAACGGCTGCAGCCATCCTTATGCACCGACTCCACCGCACTTTGTGGATATTTCAATTCAATCAAAGCGCGGATGGGGGCTAGCGAGCGCTACATGTTCATTTGTCATGGGGGCAGAGAGGAAGAACGGCAACCCGGGGGCGCCCAGCGGGCAACGCCAACACCTTGGACCCCTAGCCAGGCAGTGCACATAAATCCACACTCGAAATGACCCTTCCACTCCTTAGCCGGGCCTGCAACTACGACTGGGACTGCGACTGGGTAATTGCGTACTTACCGATCTCTGCCGAACCGTAAGGTGATAACCTGGCTGCACGGGATTCCTTTTGTCTCGGTTGCCGCTTCGATTGCGTGTTCGAATCAGGAATACTTGGATTTATCGTCTCGTTTGAAATCCGCACTTTATTTATGGCAGCCCGGCCACATTTCTCTCTCTCCCACCCTCTGCTATACAATATTATTTATTATTCTATCAAGCATTATACTGTCAGCATCCACAGAATAAACGGCCAATGGGCCAAGATGATTACGAATTACGAGATTTTTCAACCGATGGGAGACGTTCACCAACCGCCAGAGCATGACCACACGAACCGACCTCAAGAAACGATCTGCGGCTGCGGCTGCGCGGCCACTTGCACTTGTGGGGAAGCCACCAGACGGCACACAAAAACCAGTCGCAATGCCACACGTGATTCGACATCAAGATACCTGGTAGCTCAGTTTGTACACGAACATATGAGCTTTTATGTATCCTTAAAGTAAGGTGGACAAGTTAGAGCTAGTTCCTCTACTGGATTCCATTTGCTGCTAAGCTACTGTGTGTGTGAGAGAGAGAGAGAGGTTTTTTTATTGGTTCATTTTAGTTTGATTATAAATTTCTTTATTAAATTTCATAGGAAGTTCAATTTAGTTTTGCCCCACTGTTCTCTAGAATGCAACAAGCTGGAGGTTGCATCCAAACAAGTTTGAGTTTGATTATGTTATGGGTATCTCAGCAGCTGCTTCGACGGTGAACTCATCCTCTATGTGCATTTTACAGGGGCTCAAGTAAATCGGAACATTCCAAAGAGTGCTTTAATAAGAAATTTATTTCATATAAATAAAACCCTAAGGAAACCTTTTTTCAAATCATAATATTATTATTATCCAATAAACTGCCAAACTCTAGGTCTTAAAAACTACACAGAATCATACTTAGATATCGTATATAAACTTTAAAGTACAACTTTTTGAACTTAGTAACTACACTCCCAATTATAGATAGTTATACAGATTTTTGGATATTCCTCTAGAGTACAACTTTAAAGTCATAACTACAAAATAATTATAGAACTTATTCCTCGGGTCGCGTTTCGCTGTAGAAACCCAGATTCATTGTGGGTACCATGTTGCTGTAGAAGTTAAGCTCCGCGGCTGAGGGACGCACCTGTAGCGGCACCTGGGGCACTGGAGGCATTTTGGCTACAGCCGTCGGTTCGGCCATTTTGTGGGGCATTATCGCTGCCGCAATCATGGCCTGCTGCGTGCTCTGGGCCACCTTGTGCTGCAGCTGATGAACCTTCAGGTGGTTCTCCAGCTCAATCTGCTGCAAAAAGGTAATGCAGCAAATGGCGCACGTATAGGTGGGCCCGTGGGCCTCTAGTGTGTGTCGCTGCAGCTGCTCGCGACGATTGAAGACTAGATTGCATATCTTGCAGGCCAGCAGTGTGTCCAAATGAAGCGCCCTATGACGCTGGAGATCGCGCTCGCGTTGAAAGACCCTGTCGCAGACATCGCATCGGAAGCTGCGTCCTGGCTTCTGTGAGGTGATTGGCTTCGGCGTTAACTGTTGCGTTAGTTCGTGTTGCAGTTGCGCCAGCTGCTCCGGTGTCGGGGGATGCAGAGTGTTCTGATGCTGCTGCATAAGTATCTCCTCAACGTCGCGCTTAGTGTGCATTTGATGATGGGCCACAAGTTTGTCCTTGCGCGAGGAGGAAAACGGACAGCGGTTACACTGGAATGGCCTGGCCCCGGAGTGCAAGCGTGAGTGGTTCGTCATCTCCTGGGCGGTCTGGAAGGAGCGTGGACATTGCTGGCACACGAAGGGCTTCTCGCCGCTGTGAATGCGCATGTGCTTCGTCAGATTGGTGTTTCGGGAGAAGCTCTTTGTGCAGACATTGCAGGTGTAAGGCCGCACGCCGGTATGGACTATGGCGTGCTTCTTGAGGTCGGAGCGGCGTACAAATCCCTTCCCGCACTGGGCACACACATAGGGACGATCCATATCGTGGAGCGACTTGATGTGGGTTATAAGAGTGGCTCTCGTGACGAAAAGCAAACTGCAAAATGTGCAACAGTAGGGAGCTTGAGGATCATGGGCTGTTCTCTCATGTTTTTGGCATTCGATAGGTAGGGTGTAGCCCAAATCACAGTACTGACACAGAAAAGCGGTCTTGGGACGTGCCCCTCCAGAGTTGAACTCAACACTGGGCTGCTGCAACTCCATATTCACTGACATTTCGGCCATTTGCTCCGCATTTGTGCCTAGAGGTATGTCGGCATCGTCTGCAATCGTTGTGTCTGCTTCATCCTCATCTCCGTCCTCGAACTCCTCTTCTTCCTCCTCATCTTCAGCGTTTTCATTCTCTTCGTCAGAGCCCATTTCATCATCGCTCGTCTCCGCAAGCTTGTCCGGATCCACCTCCTCAATTTCGCAATCATCTCCGGGCTCGAATTCACCAGGATTTCCGTTCAAGCCGGGTCGGTACTTGGGATCCTTCTTAATGACCTCCTTCAGTTGCTCCTGCAAGGCAGCTTCCCGCGCTTTCATTCCCCGCCGCTGTTTATAAAAATCCTCCAGCACTTCCAAGCAATCGGAGCAAATCTGCTCCGGTAAATACTCATGGCGATCGTACTGCAAAGTTAATCATTGTTATCATTGTTAATCAAGGCAATCGAACTTACCTGCACTCCCCACACGCTCTGGCAGACATCGGCAATGCAGAATTTGTCGCCATCCCAGAAACCCTCGCGATCGGTGAAAATGTTTGGCGTGGTTTCCGTCGATGCCGGCCGATGGCACAGCCGGCACGAGCTGGCACTCTCTTGCCTCTCGTTTGGCGCGGAACGTTTAGCTTCATTCTGCATAATATACATTTTATCGCACTTGGCCAAATTATATCTTTTATTTTAAGAATTTTACGCGAATTTCCGCATTTTACCATTTATTGCACGAGGGTGTGACCACATTTAGTATGACCGACCGAAATATACCGAAATATACTTTTCCATTTTCAAAATATACCGGAAAACATTCCGATAGAATTATTACCCTCAATTTTGATCTTCTGTTGAATAAAACCAGCTGGTTAGCTAGAATTTTATTAATCAAAAATCAATTTTCCACAAGATTGGCTAATTTTCAGGAATTATTTTAATTATATTGTTCATAAAATAGGCAATCGATAATCGATACTCTGTATTTTAGAATATTTTATCAGAAATGTCTTTCAGTCGATAGTCCCACTCGATTGACATCGAATACCGAGAGGTGGCGCCCAAACCGACTATCGCCAATTTGTAAATTGAACGTGCTCGGAATTTTCCATAATTTATATTTTAAAGTTAATATAAAAAACTTTAATTACCAGTCACATTTTAATTTACTGTAGCAGTTTGAATAATCAAAAACTACTGCGCTGGAAGCCCACAACGATGAGCGCGATAGAACATAAGCAGCAGCAGCAACAAGAAACGGGAAAAAAGCTCATTCACATTCGACTTGGTACACTTAAAGCGAGAGTGGTGTCGGCCCCATTGGCGGCGCAATAGTACGCAAAGTGGTGCCCGAAATTCCGCGAAATCCTTTGTTATCCTTCCCCGAGTCTAACAAGTTGTTGTTTGTGTTAATTGCAATTGGCGCCGGTTCAGTGTATATGTAGTGCATTCTGTAGCCCCATGACCTGATGCTTCAGAAGCAGACGCCCGCGCGAATTACAAACACACGTGAAAAAGGTCATATACACACTCGCACACATCGGTATAACTGTTACTCCCACGCGTAAAACAGTGTGCCGGCAAAACCAAAGCAGAGCAACAATTTTCCATCGAGTTCTCTGTGAGTGAAAATAACTGTTTCGTGAGTTTGTACTATTTAAGCTTTACTTTTGTTACTCTCTCCGTGTGTGTCGCCCGTTCTCCCTCTTCCAAGTTTGAGTTCAATTGCCTTTCTACGCACATTTTGTCTTTATTATGCACCCCTCCTTATCCAGTGCTTTTCCCATGCGGCGTGCTCTGAGAAAGGGAAGCTAGCAGATTATGTGGTCGAAGCTTTTGATGCGCTTACAAGCAAATCCACATGTTGGAGGTATATTATATACTATAGAGTAATCCGAACACTGCAACTCCAACAATACTATATAAGTACAGAAAAGTAAAGGTTCCAAATATGTACATATACACTTATTTGAACGAAAATAGATTCGTGTCTGCCTTGCAAACAGCATAACAAAGTCACCATAATCTCTTATTTTGCAGTGTAATAACAACAGCAACCCTGTGTACATTTATTACGTCTCTGCTGGCGTGTTTTCTCCCCCTTCGCTTGTCCTTGGTTGACATCCTTTGTGCTTTGCTCTGCTAACCTATCTACAGTTTCGCCCTTTCCCCGTTCTTCTTGTTTTTGAACTTTGTTCCCTGTTGATTTTACTCCATAGGGATTTTTCAGTGCGATGCTTGGGTATGCGTGGGGGTTGTTATTGCGTGTAAAAAGTAATGATTTTGGTTACATTAATAATTTATCTGACCGAATTCGTCTAAGGGAATTCGAAAACAACTTAAATTTGAAAGTAGCAGCAGGTACAGTGCAAGCAATTTATTGAGGTCCCTCTTATTCAGGAATGACCTCATTACTTTAAGGGAATTAATTATCGCTCTGGTGCCATATGTACTGTCGCTCTCCCATGGCTTTCATTAGTTTTACTACATATGTACATACATATATATATATATATACATACATATATAAACGGTAACCTGTAGAGTGCAGGGAAAACTGTACAAGCTCTCTTTAATAAAGCTTTACCTGGCCAGACGGAGAGCTTGAAATGCTCACTGTATACACACATATGTATATTATTTATATGGTTGTTTACGACTAAAAAAAAATTGCCAGGATATTATTCTGAAAGCACATGCATGCAAGTAGTAAAAAAAACTTTGTACATACATATTTATGTATGTAAATATACATTTGTAAACATTATTAGATTCACGCAAAAGTTAAGCGGTGGCGAATAAAGCTCTAAACATTCCATCCAACCATTAATTATAGCACACTGTGACGTCTAATCATTCGATCAGAAAGTGACCGATCAGCAGATCGGTGTGCAGTATTGTGACTCAATCATGAGGCTGGGTCTAGTTGTACACTCTCGTAGACTAGAGTCTCGTAGATTGTGCACTTGACTTTGAACTTGACTCCGACGTAGTGCTGTCCCGTAAATTGGTTGGCAAATTGTTCGGAGGCTGCAGGGAGTCGCACGCCGCTTCCCCACGCCTGTCAGATTGTCACATGCGTGCAATCATATGTTTTACGAGTAGTAATAGTTCTGATTGCCAGGGAATATTATATTGTTTGTGGAATTCTAGCCCCACCGAATCATGCCATAATCTTATCAGCGAAGCGAAGCTTATGCTCACTGAATGAATCGCTTGCGGGTGAGTTGTGTGGAAAAGCTTTGCTGCGATTGCCGCAATAGATAACAAGAGCCGGCTCCAAGCACCCCCATAGAAATGCTATTGAAAGTGTGCACATAAAAAGGGGAAAAATGTATAGTTTTGTGAGCAACCTAAGCTGTGCATACTCGTGTGGAAAGGTGTTACCCTTGGAACTAAAGTGCAGACTAGATCTAATTAGAGCAGCAGGCTCTGATAGTGTAGTTCCACTACAATGAGGGCAATGAGTGACTTGGCACTTTTGACACATTTAATATTTGCTTAAAGATCGTTAAGTAGTTTCTTGAGCAGACTCTTAAAATATCAATACTCTGGTAAGAAAAATTCAGTGAACCAAATGAATAAATACCTAGATTGAAAACTGAATATCCATAATTACCAAGAAACGTTATCGGCAGCCGGGTGTTTCTCCAGTTATCCAGACTAACACCATATCAAATATCATAAACATTTACCTATACAAATGTGGCACGGGTCATAAAGTAAGAAAAATAGAGAAATAATGTCCAGACCAGAATCAATCAAAGACCAAATCAAATGGTTTCTGATTATGTTTAGATACACAAATATCCACCAATTCAACGCTCTATTAGACCGCAAAGGGTCAACGCGAGTTTCAACAGTTTGTTTTTTCAGGCCTCAACTACCACCAAAAGATTTATCTGTAATGATACTTGCTATAATGGTAATTACTGGCATTAGAACTTGTGCCATGCCATTAATATTTTATTAGAAAAACAACGTTTAACTAAAGAAAGATTATTATTTATGAGCTTCAGGAGACCACCCCAAAAGAAACGTTTTTTTCTTGGCTGGGGGGAATTCCTGATTTACCACATGATACTGGCCATAAAGATTTATTTCACCACAGCTGTTTTCGCCTATTATTAACTATGCTTAGGGTTAATCTAGAGTAGATTTAAAAATTTAAAAGCCGATTGTACTCTATGCAAACAAAAGCCCAAAAAAGTTAATGGCATGACAACCACTTGGCCTGACCGCCAGAGATCACAGGCTAAATGTTATTTAACTGCAAGCTAATTACTCGGCTTATACGTATAATATAAAGTCTGTAATATAGATACATATATTTTTATGGACAACTGACAGAAGCTGGAACCTCTCATTTTTGGGCATACTTTGACTGTAAAGTTAAAAGCCCAATATATTTTTTGTTGTCCGTACCCCAGAGGTGTGTCCTAGTTTTATATAGAAACGTAATCGTATAATTATAAAAATCATAAAGGCCATAAATGAGAAATCTATCAACAAGTGCCGAAAAGATTAAGTGGCAAACTCAAGCCAACATAATTGGAGGGAAAACACAGGCCTCCTTTGCAGGTGTAGAGCACTGTTCCTTTTAGCAATCTCATGGGCGTACTTCAAATGATTTCTACTCGTATTGTATTCTGATCTTTCCAATCAACAGTCCATAGTAGAATAAAGCAAATTATTAACCAAAAAGATTACCAAGACTGTGAAGTACGCTAGTACGTACGTAAAACATTAAATGAAATGTGTCAGCGAGATATCAAAGTTCACTGCCTACCTTAATCCAAACAAGAGCGATTGGGAGTTTTGTTTTATTTTTGATAAGCCGCTTGCCATTTTGTATCGACACCCGCGCACCTTTGAGGCGGCACCTTTCAGTTGTGTTTGTCCCATCGGCCCCATCGGACGTGTTTCGGTCTAATTAAGGGCTCGAATAAAGGTTTGTTTCCATGGGGAATCTGTACAAAAATTAAGTGGAACAACTGACAATAAATCATAGCGGCTTCCACCAAGCTATCAAATTCCATAATCTAAATCAAATTTTGTGCTTCTAGGGCCCTGGCCCCTCACTCTTATCGGGCATTACAAAAAGGGGTATTTGCACGATAAGTAAATAATCCTCATGAAAATTCATGACCCAATCAAGAGAGTATGCAAATGATTGCAAATTGAATAATTATCTTGATATACTACTCCGACATTTCACTGCGGAAGAAAACATTTCGTGCAGTTGCAAATCAGATAATCTTCATTTAAATGCAATTTTGTGTGCAACAACGTCAGTTGTAATTGAAAGGCAAAAGACATTATGTTTTCTTAGATAAACTGTATATGTACGTGTGTATATTTTTCATCATATCTATCACTGAACAAAATATCAAGTTCGCAATAAATTCAAACGATTAGGTATTGCAACAAAATTAGTTTGGTCCATTAAAATATTTAGACCTGTACATTAAATATACATTTCCCGCAGTATTTGATTGATTTTGAATATTTCCAGAGTATCTGCGCTTCATTAAAAATGGCTTGTACATGCGAAGTAATCGGCCTAGCCTGCGTGGTGGCTCTAATCCTTAGTGTTTCGGCCAAGGCCCCCTACCAGATGCGCATGTTCTTTGTATTCTTTGGCGCTGGCGCCATTGTGATGCTGTGCGTACCCTTTATGATGCTACGACCACGGGACTACCGAAATGCGCTGTAAGTCCGACGAATCAATAATCGTTTTCCCCCATCTAATTGCCCATCTCTTTCTGCTTATAGGGTGCCATCTTGGTGCTTCAGACAGCTCTGCAAATTGATGGGCATCACCATGGAGGTGCGTGGATTGGAGAATGTTCGAGCCGGTCACGGCAGTGTGGTGATCATGAACCATCAGAGCGCTCTGGATCTTTGTGTGCTGAGCTATCTGTGGCCAGTGATCGGAAGGGGCACGGTTGTGGCCAAGAAGGAGATTCTGTACCTACCGTTCTTTGGCTTTGGTGCCTGGCTCTGGGGCACTCTGTACATCAATCGTTCCCGCAAGACGGACTCGATTAATTCCCTGCAAAAAGAGGCAAAGGCGATACAGGAGCGCAACTGTAAACTGCTGCTCTTCCCGGAGGGTACACGCAACTCGAAGGACACACTGCTGCCGTTCAAGAAGGGTTCTTTCCACATTGCGCTGCAGAGCAAGTGTCCCATTCAACCGGTGGTCATCTCAAAGTACGCCTTCATGGACGACGAGAAGAAGACCTTTCGTCCGGGCCACGCACTGATTCAAATCCTTCCCGAGATTTCGACCGAAAAGTACGAGAAGGATGATATACAGCAGCTCATCGACGACTGCCGTTCCATCATGCAGGCGGAGTACACGAAGCTGAGTAAAGAAGGCCTAGCCTTGAGCTCGAAAAAGCAATCATAGGACTGGATAGAATATTATTAAGCTCCGGTTGCTAACTAACGCCCAGAAACAGAATCAAAAGCAGCAAACAAGGATATATAGGGTTATTTGATTAATTTACTTAGCATTAAGTTATACAATAAATATTATACGCGTGTATTTTCGATCAATATTAACTGAAATAAGGCAAGGAACACGGCATACTTTTGTGGACCTTTTCTGCTTAGTTATAGAACTTAAATTAATTAAATTAAAACCTTGTCCTTGAAGTGAAACCGACCAAAAAGGATCTGGGAAGTTATCCTGATAACGGAAAGGCTAGGAACGCCCAGATCGGAAGGGATCTCGCAGAGCTACAGCGTAATTCGTAAAATACATGTGAGGGGATTTATTTTTAAAGACATATCCTATGTTCGTAATCCATATCCGTAAATGATTCAGGAAATTTTTCCGCTTACGAGTACATGTATCTCGACAGGATTAGAGGAGAAATAGCGAAGTTATAGAAATTATTTCCCTAGTCCTTAATGTCTTTGAAGCAGGGCTCGACGCCCATACAATTAACGAGCCGTTTTTGCGTTTGTGTGTGCAGACGCACGCAAAAAGGAACATTTTACTATATTGGCATTGGTACGAATCACTGTAATACGCGTGTACGTGAGCGGCAGCGCCTTGTCCTATGCCCTTTGGGTAGGGCCGTGCCGAGCCCTGCTTTAAAGCGAAACTGACTGAAGAGGAGCGGGGAAGGCATCCTGATTACCAAAAAGGTGCACGCCCAGATCGGTTGAGAAATGGCGAGTTGAGGCAACAGAAACTGGAAACTAGAACTAGATCATTTTCAAACCGAATACCTGGCCAACAGAAACGGTTGGAAACACAAATTTAGAAAATGTAACCAGTTCAAATCAACATCAAATGAGCGTTTTGAAAAGCAGCCCTTGGCAAAGCTCAGGACCAAATATATCTAATGATCAAAATTTACGTTTATTATGTGTGGGGGAACTTCTCAAATTTTAAAAGCGCGATAGCGGTGATGTGGCAGCCAACAAGCAAGTACTGGTTCATTGGAGCTAGTTTCCATTTAAAAATTCAACTAGCTGGCAACTAGTCCCCTCGCAAAGGGCGCGTGTAATTTTGAATTCAAGAACAGTGCATCTAAAAACTATAACAATTGTGAATTTGTATCGGTCGTGGAGTGTGGATTGGTTCGTTCGTATAATATTATATTGAGCTGGTGGTGTTGTTTGGTGTAGAGTTGAGTGGATTACTGATAGGTTTCCAAGCGCTATTCATCGTTCGGTGAACGACGGCTGGCAGTCGATGGCATGGGCTTCACGCATTCAGTGGGATGCATTTGGGTCAACCAGTAGTTGTAGACCATGCTACAGAATGCCTTGTACACATCATCGAGCACCTCCTCGGGATCCATCTTAAGGTGGTCGCGTCCAATGATCTGAGACAACGAAACGGTGCTGCTGGTGCGGCTGTGATCGGACACGGGCGTGGCGGAGAGCTTTTCCACATGACGCATCAACTTTATGATCAGGGAGTTATGTTTTCCGGCATTGCCATGGCTCAGGCCACCATCAGGCCCGCCTGAACAGCTGAGAGCCTGCTGCTTGGCCTGCTCAAGCTTCAAGGTCTCCTGCAGCTTCCTGTAGCTGTTCCGTCTCTTGGTAGCCTGCTCCCGCAGATGTGAGTTATATCGTTGGAGCAACACAATGGCCCAGTCGTGTTCAGCCGCTCGGTCTTCCAGTTCCGCGTTCATGTCAAGGGTAACCTTGAGTCTCTTCGCTTTTAGGTCCATGCTGTTCAACATCAGCTTCATGTCTGCGACTTTCTCATTCAACTTGTCGTTCTCAGCTCGAAAATTGTCAATTATTTTCTTAGTCTCTTCGAGTTCACTTTGCAGACTGAGGCATAAAGTCTTGATTTTCTTATCACCCTTTGATTCGTCCTGGAAAAACGACTCCTTGTATACCTCCATTTCACTCGAGAGGCGCTCATTGGCAACTTCCAGAGTCTTGAAGTTCGTTTGCATTCGCGTCAGAGCCTCCTGCAGCTCTTTGTTTTTCTGCAACTCCTCAGCATTGTCATCAAAGTATTGCTTCTTGTAGAAGCTCAGCTCCTCCTGCAGCTCGGTGGACTGCAGTGTCGCTGCGGCGTTCTTATTCAACTCTTCGTTTCGCTTTCCCAGCTCCAGAATGGTGCCTTGACTGAGTTCGAGTTGGTTTCTGAGTGCCTTGTTAAGTATTTGGTATTTCCGAGTGCTGTCGCACCCGCCACCACCCCCCTCAGCCATCTCATCCAGTGCCTGACTCTTGTACAAGTTGAGCTCCTCCACGAGCTGCTCCTTTTCAGCTGTTAGGCCAGCGCAGATCTTTTGACATTGCAAGAGTTCGTTTTGGATGACGGTGCAGATGACGTTGTGTTTGGCCACTTTGCGGCAGTCGATCACACTCTCGACACGATTTTTGCAATCCTCCAGCAACTGGCGCAGATAGCTGAGGAGCTTTTGCTCCTCCAGCAGCAGCTTCCTGTCATTCTTCGATTGCTCAACGGCCTGATTGGTCATCTTTTTCTTCTGCATAACAAGTTTGTTCTTATCGGGGAATCCTTTCGGATCCTTCTTAAAGTGCTCCATTAGGTTCCAGTCCTTCAAGGCCTTCAACGGAATATCAATTGAGGAACCCGAATCTGTTGGCACACTCAATATGTTCGACGTGTTCCCATCCGATTGCGTGACGCTGTTCGATTGCGATGAGCCGGATTCGCACCCATCCGATTCCTTAGCCAGATCCAAGTGCAAATTTATCGATTCGCACGATTCGAAACTGAGCTTGCAGCCGACCTCATCCTCCGATTCCATGCTTGAATACTTTCTGCTATGACCGCGGAGAGAGTCCACTTACCTCACTGATTTCTTGAGTTGGGTTGGCGATTATTATGCGTGGTTGTAAATTTTCCCAAATTTCTGACTATAAAAATAAATAATTTTGTTCACTTTCTTTGTAAAACTTTTGTGCTTTCTATTTGATTGAAAAGATCTCAATATGAGCTAAATACGAAGTCTGGTTTTAATATGCCACACAATTTCCGAAACTCTTTCAAAACTTTGAAACTTTGAAACTTCAAAGACTTAAAAATCTGACAAACGTGCACTTGTGCTTCCAGAACACCCAATACCTTCTGTGGATGATAATTTCTCTCAATCGTCGACGACAGATAATGCCAAAGAGTCGCAGCATGCACAATCGCTAAAATCTGTCGAAGCCAAGCTTGACATCCAGCTGCACCGCCGCCTTACAAAGTCCTCCGGACCAGGACCACCTGGACCAACCTGTCGACGTCCAACATGTTTGAGGACGACCTGCTGGATTTGAAGAAGTGTCGCCAGTATATTTCTATGAGCGGCAGTGGTCAGACACTGCTTGCCAAGCCTATTGTATGCCTTAAGCACACCGAAAATGCCCGAACCAGTGCTAAGCCGACAAACGGCTTCTTGCATTGTATTATCGCATCGCATCGCTTAGTAGTTATTATTGCAGATGACAAAAGAAATACAAATAAAACCGCCTTTTTCAAATATCGATATACAACCCATTATTCAATATAAATACAGACTTTTTTGGTTGGTCAAATACTAACCTTTGGTGTTTGTTGGTATTTTTTTACTCGGTCGAAAGCTGGGCGTTAGGAAACGGATCTAGTACATACTGGCGACCTCTTGGCAGGGAGCAGCAGTGGGCGAGAACTTCAAATGTGCGATTATGTGTAATAAGCTTAAGCGTTGTTTAAATCTAACTTGGTCATATCACATCATGACGTTTTTGGGTGTCCTCGTGATCGGAAGGAAAACCTCGAATTCATGGAACCCTTACGAAGGTCAAAGGATCAAGGGACATTTCTCCTGCGCAAGGACCAACATATTTTAATTGTCTCCGCTATTCCCCAACGCACAATCTTAAATGAATTTTCAAGGATATAAATTCAATTCTTTTATTCATCATAACTTAACTAGATACAAATAAATAAACAAGTGGAACACACTTAAAAGTAAGATTTACCATCTAAATCTTAAGACGTGCAAGTCCTTAAACCTAACAACAAAGGATCTACGTAGAGTCTAGTAGTCCGCGTAGCCCCTCCCTTGGTTGCCATAGCCAAAGTCCTTGAGATAGTTGTCAATGGCCAGGTCGAAGGAGGACGACGGCTTGTTGGGTTCGGGCTCTTGCAAGGGGTGCGCCTCTGTTCGGCTGGGATACGACTCCGTCTGGCTCGGATAGGACTCCGTTTGTCTCGCATACGACTCGGTGATGCTTGGATAGGACTCCGTTTGGCTGGGAGGGATGGGATACGCCTCGGTTTGTGGCAAGGCGTACGCCGTGTGCTCCTCGACAATGGGATAGGATGTGGTTCGGTCGTAGATGGTGGATGGAGGCGGCGTGGCAACGGCTATCTTCTCCTCATAGGGCGTCTTTGCCTTGGCGACAGCCCCTCCGGATGAGCTGGCCACTGCTGCGGCGGATACCTTGATGCTGGGATAGCGCTGAGGCTCAACCCTGCTCACAAGGGGAATGGAAGGGGCCGCGGATTCCTGCTTGTACACCGGCGAGTAGTATACAGAAGGAGGCGCTGGCTGAAGCTGGGCTCGTGGCTGGGGTCTGGGTGGTGGTGGTGGTGGTGCTGGGTATACCTTCTTGCTGCCATAGGCTGTGCTCAACAGCTGGGCAAGCTCCTCCAGTGTGTAGTTTGGAGCATTAATGTTGCTCGCAGCTGGCGAGGAGGCGGCACCAGCCTGTTCGCTGTAGACCAGAGGATACGGCTTGTAGGACTTGGGACCGTCCACGGGGCCCACCAGTCCCGCATAGCCTGCTCCACCGCCGTACTTTGGGAAATACTTTCGCTGATGTACATGCGTGTACTCCACCTGGCCGCCGGGCGCGTAATCTCCCGTGGATGAGATCTGGGTTAGCTGCTGTTTGGGGCCGGAGGTGGCCACCTTGCGGCAGAACTCCTTGCAGCCGAGCTTGCACTCGCAGTAGCACTTCTTGTAGGCCGTCGGCTGGGTGGTGATCTCCTCCGCTGATGCAGTCGTGGTGGTCGGAGGAAAGACCTCCGTGGTGGTGGCGACGGTAGTTGTGGTTGTGGGAGGTCTGACTGTCGTTCCTGGCCGCTGCGTTGTGGGGCGTACAGTGGTGGGCACATGGCTGCATGGCACCTGCTCCCACACCTCCTGCTCACACTCTGCACAATATTCCGGAAAGTGGGCGTGTGCCAGAACCGAGGCGCATAAAAGCACCACAAATAGCAAACTGCAGCGTCCGTACATCTGAAAGGGAAATGGGAAATGGGAAATGGGGCAGTGTTATAGGTGGTGGGGCGACACTTTATGGGTCAGGCCGCATCGAGCGCTCCCAATTGATCGGATTCAATTCTTACCTTTCAGCAGTATTTATCTCCCCCGCTCTCGTTCTCTGGCTCGTGGAATATCTGTCCCGGATCGGTGTTGGCTTGCCACTTGTTGGCTGCTTGTTGGTCGCGTGCGAAATTCTTTCATGCAATTTGCTGAATAGCTCTTAAATACGCTTCGCTGGCCGAGACTTCTTCTTCATTGGAAGCCACTATTACACCGCCATGCAAATGGGTCGCGGAAGCGTTGATCGCATCACGTTCCAAACGCTTGACCGATCGGAACCGTAGAGTGGGGGCCGGGCCGGTCCACATATCGGCATTATAATCACTGCTGGTTGCCGCTGCTTCCGTAATGCACATTCAAGCATTTCTACCCGCACTCGTCGATAGCAAACAAGTGATCTTTGCAGTCCAAGAAATGCCTTCCAAATCGATGCATCTGCTGGCACTTGGCACTTGGCTCTTGGCTCCAGCTCCACACACTCCGAACTCTGAACTCTGCACTCGCTGAGCATTTTTTTGGTTCTGCCGAAACGATGCCAACTGTTTGGGGAATTTATAATTTCTGGATTTTTGGCGACACTCTTATCATCTTCCAGTAGTCGATTACCTTATCAATTTTGGGTACATTTTTGTAGCCCACGTTCTTTGCAGATATTGCACATTTTTGGGCCTCGATTGTACCAGAAATCTGTTAGGTTTATCTGCCAACTGGAATGGTTTGAATATGAGCAAATATTTTGCATGTCTCAGATCGATATTTAAGATCAAAACAATGTGTCCATTGCAGGCATATAACTCTCTGAAAAAAGAGAAATAAAAGTTGGTTAAGAGAAGATCTTAGAATACTGCGGACGAAGAGATAGAGAGAGTCATAAATAAATTCCAAATAAATACAAAAAAGAACTCTAAATTCCAACTGCAATTTATTCATTTAAACATGCCTCAATTTGTACACTTACATTTAAGAATAAATAAAGAATAAATAAAGCAGAGAAGAGGAAAGTGAGGCAGATAAGTTCAACTCAGATTGGTCACACGACTTTGGAAGGGTCTGGCGCCGGCATAGACTTGTATTTTGGGATGCAAGCTCTGCTCATCCAATGGCTTGGCCTCCACAGCACCCTTGTCTTCCTCGGCATCGTAGAAGCTGCGCTTCTTCAACTTTTCCCAGTGACTGATTCTGATTAAGGGCTGAAGCTTACGCGCCGGCGGCACATTCACAGGGTCCCTGAATCTGGCTTGGGGTTGGGTATTTGCAGGCGTGGGTTGGGGTATACGAGAGCTGCCAGCCATGGCCACATCAATGGTATCCGTACCGCTCTGGGCGCTGGTCAGTCGTCGCAGCATCTCCTGGTAGTGTGGCTGATCCGCCGTAATGTACTCGGGCTCATCCTCCGGATTGAGTATCTGATAGTTGGGTGTGCCCAGCTCAAAGGTGGTAAAGTCGCCATGCTCCACTTTATTCTTCAGCTGACTGGCACTCCATCCGTACTGCTTGAGCGGCGCCATCCACTTGGTATCCGCCTCATCTGTGGCTGCCTGCGTGCCACGGCAGGAGCTGACAGCCATCAGCAGTGTGATCAGAAAAACTCGTGTCGGCAGCGGGTCAACCATTTTCGCACTGATGCTCCATTGATCTTTGGCAAGACCGTTAGCCGTTAGCAGCATCGTCGACGACCACAACGACGGCGACAACGACTGTAATTGGACGCCTACAACTGGGGGGGCAGGTACGTGAGATTAGAGGCAACTCTATGGGGCCGTGTCTCGTCTGCCAACGATAGCATTAGTTGACGCTTATCAACGCCCGAAACCCGAACCATGACACATCGTCGACGTTGCTTATGAGACATCACTCATAGCTCAACACCAAGAGAAGTTTCCCTCCACCCAACTAATCTAAACCTAATGTGAAACTTAATTTACCTACACTCACTCCCTCTCCCACTCCATCTCTCTCGCTTAATCACTAGGAACAAGTCGAAAGTCGAATATTTTTCTGTGTTCTTCTGGCGAACAGATTGAATGTGATGCATCTTTATAGGTAGACCGATGTATGTGTGTATGGTATTTACATATGTACGTACGAGCATGTATTAGAGTACAGGATAATGGCGTATATATAATTGAATTATGACATTTGTGCAGTTGGCTTTCCTTATGGGATCATGGAGAGGTGAGGCTATGCTGAGGGATGTAGTCAGTCGTAGGTGCGCGGCCCGGCCTCAGTACTTGTACTGAGCTGTGGGTCTGGAAACAGAGACATAATTACCTGGCGACAGCTCCTGCTTGATGAGTGCCTTGGGGGCGGCGTAGTGGACGAGCGGCGCAGCCACGAGCTTGGCGGCAATCAGCTTTTTGGGTGCCTCTGGCTGAGGGATCTTGATGTCGGTGGGCTCTCGGTGAACAATGGCCTCGAAGCCGTTGTGATCGTCCGCCTTGTACTGGACAATGCGACGATAGCCATCCGAGTCGATCAGCTCGTAGACGCCCTCCACTTTGTCATCCTTGCGCACCTCCTTTTGGCTCTTGATGTCCCCGGTGTGCGGGTCGTTGACCGACCAGTGGAATTCGTAGGCCACTGGTCCGTAGTCCGGCTCCGGCTGCAGTTCCAGGGCGTTGCCTAGGCTCAGAGTCAGAGCCAGGCCCAGGCAGAACAGAAAGCTCAACTAGAACGAAAGGACACACATTAGTAAGGACTGGATGCTGGATTGAAGTGCGACTTACTTTTCCCATCATTTGCTTTTTGGTCTGTGGTGGTGTTCTGAGAACTCTGGGACTAATGTAATGCACTCGACGGAGATCGGAATCGAAGTAATTAATCTATCGAGTCCTCGGGTCGTTTTATACTCAGCTCCATCCAGTCCAGCCCGACTTCTGCTTCAACTCCAACTCCAACTATGATGTGGCAATCCACCCAAATGGTTGGTGTGGCACGCGCCTCCGAGTGGAGCGCGCTCATTAAGTGAGCCCCGAAAAAAAATTATAATTAAACACGATACATGCAAAGTGCAGCGCCACAGCGACCCAGCCAGTGGTCTACATTGAGATGGAGCCAAGTGCCGGGCAACAGAACCAATATGCCCGAGCCGCAGGTGGAGATGTGATCTTTGGAGGTGTCGGTGCGTTAGTTAGTGCGCGTTGTGGTCCGTTAGTCGGTCCAACAAATGCGCAGATTAATTTATTTTGTCAATAATTTGCAACTCAAATACAGACCAGCCATTGGGCAACGTTGGCCCGCGACTCTGTGACTCTACATTAAGTCATAAAAAATAATTGTCATGTTTGTTTGATTGGAGAGCTGATGCGGGTTTGGGGCGGTGTGTGGGGGCATGGTGTGCTGTGGAACCTTCATGAATTACAGGACAGACGGGATCCTTTGATTGGGACACACACAGCAAGCATGTTGGATGCCATTAACAAATATTTTAATTAATCGCCATTAGAAATTGAACGGGGTTTACTTTTTGGCCTGCCACAGCCCCAAGTTATTCAGGTTGCTCTTATCTCAAAGCATTTGGATGTGGATTTGCATTTGGTTCAGCTGCAGATCGTGTTTGTCGAACCTTAAAAGCAATCTCTGGTATGTGCACTTGTTAGGCGTAACTTGCTCCGAATCTGGGTTAGACTTGCACTCTGTGGGGTCGGTTTTTCGGTCGGTCTTCGATCAGTTAGTTGTGGGCCGACTTGTCCATTTCCGTCCCCTGGTTGTCAATGTTTGGTTTATCGTGTCAGTTATTTCGGGCTATGGTTTGTCATCATTTGTGGCTTGTTTGTCGCTTAATAAGTCGTCCCCCTGCTATTCCTCATTGTTCTCCTCGCTCTCCTTCTCCAGCTTGGTACGCACTTTTAGCTGGCAACGAGATCGGAGTAGCTCCCGTCGCAGGCTATTGCTCTCCGTCTCGACAGTTTGGATCAGCTGGATGCGGGGATCAGTAAGCTAAAAGTCAAAATATCCCTCAGAACGTGCAGTTTCCACTTACGCTGTTGGTGAGAGCCGCTCGCTCCATGGTCTCGCCGTCGGCATCATCATCCTTCAAGCAGGACTCACAGCAGGAAGAGACCACATGCTGTCGATAGTTGCGACACACGTGAGGGGTAGTCGGATCTTCCGGTTGGTACTTGGGCGGAGGATCATCATCTAAGGCTGGAGCAGACTCATTATAGCCGGCCACTTCTACCGCTACTAGTTTCGCCTTTAGAGCAGCCACCTCTTCGCGCAGTGTTTGATTCTGTGTCTCCAGCAAGTCCACCTGGAAGGAGATTAGATGAAACTTCCGCTTCCTTTTTGGGTGCTGCAGGAACCTTACGCTGTCCAGCTCAAAGTCCATTTCATCGATGATGTCGTATGACTCATCCAGAGCTCTTTGGAGCTTCTCCACTTGTGCCTTCAGCTGCTCGATTTCGCTGCACTCGTTCTGTGCCGACAGCCGCTTCTCCAACATCATTCGCTGCTCTGTGTTCCGCTGATCCAAGGCGGATTTCATCACCAGACCCGTGAGAGTCTTCTGCCGCTTGAACATCTCCTCGAGTGCCTTGCAGCGCTTTAGCTTCTCCAGGTAGGCATCGTGCAGTTTGTTGTACTTCTTTTTGTGCAGCTGCAGGGTCTCCACCAGCTGATCGCGCTCCTCCTCCATCTGGAATGCCACAATCTTGGCCTGCACATCCACGGCTGCGCTCGTGTGGTGATCCGAGGACACTCGATTGAGGCGATGGCGTAGTAGAACATTCTCCTCCTCCAGTTTGAGACTACGTGCCTTTGCTGCAAAGAAAAATAATTAGATTTGCTGTTAAATGGGGCAGCCTTAATAGCAGGGGATTAAGTATACGCACCTGCGGCCAGCTCCGCATAGAGCACTTGCATGGCGGACGAGGATCGTTTCTCCATTTGTCTGTAAATACTTTTCAAGTGCGTCGTTCCCTGTAACAATTACTCAGCCACTAAGTTCTTCGTCCGCTCCAATGAGCGTTGAAAACAATAAAGATAAGATATCAGTATTGAGTGTTGCATGGTTGCCTCCCCTCCTTGTCGATAGGAACTTGAAGAAAATAAAAATAAATATTATAACTAAAATATTAAATAAAAAATTAATCCTATAAACATAACAAACTTAGTAGATATTACATTAAATTTAAATTATTTTTGAGTTTCAATAGTATAGCATGATGTTGCAGCCCTGGAAATACGGTATATTTTACGGTACAGTGCTGATTGGCTTGTGTCTTGGCTAAGTGGCGCCACCTGTCGTGTGGCGCCACTGAGTAGGTATTCAATTAATCGAAACGAAATATATACATTCCGATATTTACATAATTTCCACCAATCGATTTTGAATTTAAACCGACATTTTCGATATATGGAAATACAATCAATCATTTGTCTAGTACAATATATTATTTATTTCTTATGTTTTTGTGTGTTTCAGGAGTCTCATTGTTTTCATTTCATACACTTTATTTTTTATGGTTTAGTTTAGTTTAGTTTAGTTTACTCTTTCAATATTTTCGCTAAGTAAAAATATTTATACCTCAGCCTCCGCATAGATACGATTACTACAATCGATGTAGTATGCAGATGCAGATACTATAAGTAACTATATTCTGAAGATATAGTTTATTGTATACATAATATATCCAAGTCGAGACTCGCCTACGTCTTAGTCTTGGCGTAGTCTGTGGTATTAAAATCGCTTTTCAGTAATGTGACATACATTGATCTCAACATGAATTTTAGCTATTTTGTAGGTACATACTTATCAATGTAGAAGTGCTGCCCCATGCGGATGGCTGGGTGGCCGCTGGCTGGTGTATACATAGACTTAGTGGCTACTGCTAGGCTAACCTATAGATTGCATCACTTAGGGACTATTTTGGGGGAAGTGAACTCCAATTACTCCATTGAAGTTGGGATCTTATTTTATCTTTTTCTTAATCTTATGCTCTGTGTGTGTGTGTATATAATATATCCATGTGGATTTAATTGATATATTTTAAGGCATTATCGCATTTTTTAAAGTACGTCATTTCTGTTTAAAATCAAGACTCCTGCTTCCTACTCGTCTCGTCTTTGTCTACGTTTAAAACAGGGAATTCAGGAATTTACACTCAGTTTTTGTATACTTATGCCTAATCTAATCTCTAGCTAAACCATCTAGCTCCACACGATCCTCGATCCTCATCCACTCGTTCGAACCAACACTTTCCATTGTCCGTCCACAAAGATTCTCTAAATAAATGTGGTATTGCATAAGAATTACATTCAGCGTGTTTCCCTCGACCTTTACTCGTCTCTTCTCTCCTCTTGTTTTTCTAGACACTTTCGTTTCATTAATTGTTTTGTTTGTTGTTTTCCTATACTCACACATTGTTTCACAGCACAATTTCCATTGACAATTGTTTACACGTTCGTAGATTATTAAAACATTCAATTTTCTATTCATTTCTAACTTCACTTCACTTCTATTTACTGTCTCTGTATCTGTATCTCTATCCTTGTCCTTTCATTCTTTCAGTGCCTCAGTCTCAGTCAAAGCGTCTGTTTCCACTACGAAACCGAGATTCCACTACGTTCCAATCTTCCACTCTACAAAATACAATACAAAATATTCCTATCACAACGATCTACGTCCTACAATATGCTGCTACTTTGCTTACTATATCTCTATCTGTATCTATATCGGTATATCGCGGTATATCTGGTACCTATTCTAGTGCCTAGATCCATGGATCCATAAATATTATCTGCAATTGTGTCGAGCCTACCAACGTTGGTGAATCGAATGCGGATTACACTTGGATTTGAACACGTTGCTTGCACATATCAAAAGATTTCTATTGTTGTGGTTATTGGTTTGTCTACGAGGATAGTAGATTTGAACACTCGGTTGTAAGTACAATGAGCAGTTGCAGTTGGGGGCGCACACACAAAGAGGCCAAGGAGGTGCCTGGAATGGTGCCACTAGTGGTGTCGATATCCTAGATTATAGCTAACTGGGAGGGACATACACTAAGCACTCGGGAAGAAAAGGAACTACAGGAACTACAGCCGCATCGATGAGCGGTCCTCCTCCTCATCGTTGTCGTTGATGAGCTCGTTTCGGTCGTCGTCGATTTGAATCTTGTGGTGAGACGTATTCCGCGAGTGCTGCTGCTGATGCCCAGCTGCTCCTGCTCCTGCTCCTACTCCTACTCCTACTCCACCACGATTAACATTCGCAGCGGGCACAGCAGCAGCTACAGGCGCTGACACCTCTGGCAGCATTGTGTAGTTCAGATCCTTGGAGTTGGTGCGACGATGTCTTAGGACACTCAGTCCCGTCGTGGCTATTGGCTGCTCAACTGCTGGCTGTGGCGCGCCGCTGCTCGATGGAGCTGAACCAGTGGCCAATTTGGTGTTCAAGTCCTTGGAATTGTTACGCGAATGTCCACGCGAGCCAGAGCCGGCTTCCATCTCGTTTGAGTTCTTTAGCTTGCCACCCGTCTCGGCCACCACATTCTTGAGCACATTCACGTTCTTCTTGGGATTGTGGTGCGCATGGGGATGACGCAAAAAGTCCGCATCGAAGCGTATGTTGTTTGGCATGTAGATCTGATCGTAGCTGTGGTTTCGCGAGTGCTTCTTCACAAAATGGCCACAGCCGGTGGTCAACTCATCGTCGTCTTCCTCCTCGGCACAGTCCTGGGGCCGCAGCTGGTTCTGGATGAAGCGTATGGGCTGGCTATTGTCGTGCATATCCGTCGAGTGGTTGCGCGTGTGTGCCTGGAACTTTTTGAGATTCTTGTACTTGTTGCTGCTGCCACCACCGCTGGCCTCCTGTCCCGCGGCATCTGCAGGCTCGCTCGACGAGTTGTGATCCCTGGCAAAGCTCTTTATCATCTTCACATCACACGAGGCGCTGCGGAAATGTTTCTTGGACTTTGTCTGCGGCTGGTTGCACGTGTTCGTGGGCGGCACCACATGACCGCACTTGTCGTAGCTGCAAAGGATATAAATTATTAGTGGAGGGTTCTTTAAAGGAGTGTGTGGACTCACCAATAATCCATTTGCATAGTGCGTGAATCATTGCGCGAATGCCGCAATATATCTGTGGGTATAATCAGCTCTCCTGCACCGCCAACGAAGCCAGCGGCTGGCTCTGCACCAGACAGCTTCTCCTCAAAAACTGCAACACACAAATCAAAGGAAAATGAATGGGGATTCCATGACAAACACAAATGATAATGGGAATTAGACACTAATTACTCGTATTTCTAGATATTTTCACTCATTTTTACAGCCTTAAAATGTTTTAATTTATATGCCGCATGCTCCCATCAATCTTCTTGCTTCTCCTATGCCTAATTCTTCACTCACGTTTGTCCAGGCTAATGATGGAGCCAATGATGGGATCGCTGGCATTCAGCGGCTTGGTCTTCTCCAGGTGCTTGCGTCGTCGCACCAGCCACCAGTCCACGATGAAGATGAACAGAGCAACCAGCTTCACAGAGGCACAAAGACCCACATATCTGAGGAAAAGGGAATCAGTATTAATTACAATCGATTGCCTATGAGAGATCATGAGAGAGTCCCTTACTTGTAGCGAAACTTCTCAATGTCGTAGATGAGACAGCGACCGCCCTTCTCGCCGCACGAGGATTTCCACAGCAGGCAGGTCGAGTCGATGAGATTGCCAAAGAGAATCGGCGCTGGGATGTAGCCAAACAATCGAAAGATGACAAACTGCATGCCCAGGGCAAAGGAGCGCTCCTCCTCGGACACTGAGCGCAGGACGATCATGAGCAGCGGCATCTGCGTGGACGCCACCAGGAAGGTCATAAAGAAGAGCAGAATGAGGAACGGATAGATGGTGCGACAGGGCGTGGCACAGGGTCCCGCTGTGGCCACCGGCACCACAGTGACCTCGGCAAAGTCGTCTCTGGCGCTGAGAGCCTGTGCCTGGCTTCCGCCAGCGCCCCGATAAATGCTGCTCGAGATGTTGGCGTGAACACCTGCGCAAAGGAAAGCTAGAGATCATCCGAGAGAGAGACAGATCTTTCGGTGGATTACTCACATGCACAGTTGGTGTAGTTGGAGCTGGAGGAGAAGGCCGTGCAGCCGGCGTGGCAGGGACTGAAATAGGTCAGTCCATTGTTGCCGCAGACGGGCTCCACCTCGCTGGTGAGGCACTCGCAGCCAAAGTTACAGGCGGCCGTGAGATTCACCTGGAAGGGTTGCTCCAGCGTGGAGCCACCCTTGTTGCTGGTGTAGTAGGGGATCGTGGTGCCGGCCATCTTCAGGTTGTCGCAGCCCAAAAAGAACAGCATCGCGTAGCAGGCGAGGCAAATCACGTTCGTGATCAACACGAACTGGACGGCGCCCTTGGGCTTCAGCTGGAATCGCTTCAATATGCAGCCGCCGAGAAAGATGCCAATGCAGGCGCCGGGCACGGCTATCGAGCCCGTGAAAATGTTCGCCTGGCTCTTGCCGAGACTGAACTGCGTCTCCAGGTACTTGGGCAGGAAGACCACAAATCCGGAGACGATCATCAGCTCCATGCAGGCGCCCAGGCAGGTTACAATGTACACGGGATTCTTCACCAGCCGCAGCATCGACTTGGGTATGTCCTTGATGTCCTTTCCGTAGCCAGTGTCCACCTTTGGGGGCAACTGCTGCTGCTCCTCCTTGCTTGTGACGGCCACAATCTCCACCTTCTTCACCACCTTCCCGAGCTCATCGGTGGCCACCACAGCACCACCACCACCCACGCCGACACCGCCAGCCACCACGGAATTGTTGGGCAGCACAGGCTGGACAACGCTGCTCTTGCGAATCTTCTTCTTTTCGCGTGCGAGCACCTTGGGGAAGGAGAAGAACGGCACGGCCACCACCAGAAGGATGACGCCGCACAGCAGGAAGCCACCCCACCAGAGGCCAACCCATCGACGGTCGCCAGGAGCTGCAAGAGATAATGTGAAGATTAGAAAATCTGAGCACTTCGGAG